CCGGGGTGCGGGCCCGGCCTTCCGCATGACCTTGGCGCGGCCGCTCCAGGCGAGGCCCGGGCTGGGAAGGGGCGCCGCCGGGCCCGGCCGGGGTTGGGGCGCCGGGCTCCCGGGCCGGCCGGCAGAGTAGGCGCTCGCTCGGGGTCGGGAGGCGGGTTTGCCCCGCGGCCTTCAAGTCTGTGGGAGGGACCTGGGAAGGAGACCTCATTTCCCAGGGACAGAAAGTTGTGCGCGGTGGCCGGGCGCCCGGGCGGGCCTACAAAGGACTCCAACTCTCCTGGGCCCTGAGACTGCTTCCTGTCCTGGGTGGATGTCCTGCCTGCCCATCCCAGAGGAGGGGCCTGGAGGGCAGCTGGGCTTGCCTCCCAGACTGGGGGTCCGGGGACGGCTCAGGGATTTGTCCCCAGGCGGGGTGCCACGGTAGATGGGCGTGGGCTTAGGCCTGTGCTCTGGCCACAGGCCCCCACGTTGTCTCCTGCGTCCCTTGGCCTGGCTCCAGTGGCCACTCCTGACGGTTGAGCCCCCCATCCAAGCGGAGGGTGGGGTGCACCGGTGCCGGCTTGGTTTCCGCCCCCACCCCCAGCTGCATGGATGGCTCAGGGACCAGTGCTCTGGAGGTGGGGGGAGGGAGCCCTCTCAGAACACAGCGTTTTCTAAAAAGTTGTGACTCAACTAACAATAGTGGCAACAGTACGCACTGGGTGAGGGCCCCAGGGCACGGAAGCTGTGGCATGTGGGGTCCTCTCTGTGCGGCCACCCTACACCCAGAGCAGCTTGGGCGCAGGCCCGGCATATACGTTTCCACGCAGACGTGCACCACCCCGTGTGCGCACAGATATATCTTTACACGCGGCTCCGACAGCTGTCTGACTCTGTCAGCAGCAGGCCTCCGGGCTCGGATGGGGGTGGGGGATATCAGAGGTCTTTGGGTCCAGCCCTGGGCCGCTGGGCCATGCCCGCTCATTGTCACCAGAGTCCCTGTTCCTGCCGTGTGCTGGGGCTCGGAGCCCTGTCTCGGCACTGTCCCCCCATGGCTGGCTTCCTGTCGCTGCCCTGGGGTCTGCCAGCTAACATCAGGTACTTTTGTCTTGGGGCAAGGTGTAACCTTCCCTGTCCTGGCACGAGACAAGGCAGTGGGGCCTTCCTGGCATTCTAACTTCAGCATAAGACAGCCAGTGCAAAGCGACCCTCCCTGGGTGCCCAGACTGTGCCTCAGGAGGCCAGAAAGGTGGGCTGGTGGGACAGCGTCACCGCCGGCCACGGAGGGATCCATGTTGGGACCCATTCCACAGAAGTCCCTAGAGGTCTCTGCCTGGCCTGGATGTCCCAGAGAGGGTCCTCTTCCCTTTAGGAGTGCCCACCTAGAAAGGTGGAAGAGCATGCCAAGTGCTCCTTCCCGGCATGCCCAGAGTTGGTGACTTGGGAACTGAACTGGGTTTTGAGGGATGCCTAGGAGTTCATCCAGCAAGGAAGAAATGAGGAGGGCCATGCAGGATCAATGGCCAAAGTGTGCTCAAGTGAGGGCTGGCTGGTGGGCCACTGCAGGGTGGGGGCTTGTACAGTGCCCCCCCATTTGTTGCCTCCTGAATGCTGTAATTATGGGTCTGTGACCACCCTGAACTGAGCGCTCCTCACCGACAGGACCTGTCTGAACCTCTCTTTGTCCCCCGCGCCCAGCGCTGGGCCTGGCAAAACCAGAGGTGCCTGGTACATGTTGGCTGAATGAATGAGCCAGATTGAGCCCGGCAGGGGCGCTGTGGTTTAGGAGGAGCCTGGGGTTTCTCCTGGGGAGATTTTTAGCAGCATCCTGGAGGGCTCTGGGCTCTCATTTGCGCCAGCAGCCAGGAGTCCTGGGCCTTCCTTCTCCACGCTTGAATTTCTCTGCTTTCCTGGTCTGGGGAGCAGGGAGGAGGAGCTCTGTGCCCTGCCCAGGATCCCAGCCCGTGGGTAGAAACACAGTGGACAGGGTGTCGGTCACCAGGGGTGTGGGGAGCCTGAGCCAGCCTGGGCTGCAGAAGTCCAAGGGGCTGCCTGGAGGAGGCGGCCTCAGCTGGTTCGGCAGGTGGAGGCTGGGAAGGCCTTTTGGGGATGGGAGTGACTTGTCCGAAGGCCAGGGGAGGTAGGAATGGAGAGGTGAGCTAGGCGACAGCTCCGAGGGCCTGCGGGTGGGGGTTGGCAGGGGCTCGGAGCCCAGTCTGAGGAGCAGCACCCAGTGACTGGATTTTATATCCGGCAGCAGGAGTGTCTGGGGGAGAGGTTGGGCAGGCTGGGAGTCTGAGACCCTGCAGGGGGCAGGCCGCATGGGAATGCAGGCGTGGGTGGGGACCCCAGGCTCATCGGCAGGCCCCCTGGCTCACCTCGGAGACAAGGAGCTGCTCTAAGCCGGACACGGCCTCATGCTCAACTTCCTTTGCTTCTCCCAGAGGCCGCGGCCAGGCTGCTGGGCCCAGGGAGAGCCTGCCTGAGAGGAGACTGTGAGCGAGGCCTGGGCCGCGCGGCCTGCTGGAGCCCCGGGCACCATGAACGACGTGGCCATCGTGAAGGAGGGCTGGCTGCACAAACGAGGTCAGTGCCCATGTGGCCGGGCCTGGGGACGGAGGGCAGGAACAGGCCCCATGGTCTGCCCAGGGGTCCTGGAGCTGGTGGGGCTGTGCCAGGCCTGCAGGCTTTGCTCGCTGCAGTGGCCCGTGCCTGCTGGGGGGGGCTGGCTTCTGGGGCTTCCGGCCTGGCCTGGGGTCAGCATCCAGCCCCACGTCCTCCCGCGCATGGAGGGCACTGCTTCATGGGGCCTCCCGGGTGGAGGGAGAGGCCCCGTGCAGGGCCGGCTGTTGGAGTGGCGGCCTGGCAGGGCCCCGTGGGTGGGGAGCCACTGCCAGCCTCCCTCCCGGCTTTCCTGGAAGGCGGTGAGGACACGGGCCGTTCCAGGGGCTGGCATGCCCGCGGCCCGGGGCACTGCCCAAGGGCTCCTGAGGGCAGGGCAGGGCTGCTTGGCTTGGCCTCACGCCTGTCTCAGGCCTGGCCTTAGGGGCTGGGGGCTCTGTACCGCCCAGGGACCCAGCGTGGGGCATGTTTGCCTTGGAACTGCAGAGCTGGCTGGGTCTGGGCCCCCCAGCCCCCTCCTCCTCCCTCAGCCCTGCAGCCCAGGGAGGAGCACTGCCCCAGGGGCTTGGCCAGGAGCGGGCGGGATGGGCGCTGCAGCCATGGCCCTCTGCTCTAACCCTGCCCACGGGCCCCCTGCCTGACCCTGCCTGCACTGCCCCTCTGCACTGCTGGGTTAGGCTTCCAGGTGCCCTGGTTGGATCACTCACTCCTGCCCCAGGGCACGGATTGGCCAGCCCTGCTCCCAACTTCCTCTTTCAACAGACCTGTTCCCTCCTGAAGTTCAGGTGACCCATGCCAGTGGCCCA